GATGGACGTGTACTTAGAAAAATTAACATAATAAAGAAGGAATTTGAGGCAACTGTCCTGGCGTCCACCAAATTTGATTGTGCCCTAGGGGCTCCAGAAAAAGGAAAGTTACAAGTTAACCAGACATCTCACAGATATGATATCTTAGAGGCAAAAAGGCAAATGGGCTCAGTAAAGAAGATCTAAGTTGATCTTTGTCGGGAAAATATCGGCCTAGGACATGACTACCCACTATAACCTGTTTGTAGTGAAATATTTAATTTTCAAACCATCTTTTGTGTTTATTTTAGGTCTCTGAGTTTGCAAGATTGCCACGCAGGCCTCCCCTGAGCTTGTCAGGTTAGCATGTGGCTCCTTTCGTTCACAAGATGATGGTGCTTAATAACAGTAGGAAAGTGGTAGAGGTGAGGATAAGTGTTTGCTTTCTGGATATATATTTTTTGACAGTAAGTTCAACCATTCCAAGTAGGTTGATTTTACTGCATATAAATCATGTCCATGTTCATCTGTTCATTTCTAAATGACTAACATTACACAGTGCTCATCATTGTTTCAAAGCGTTTCTATTTTCTTAACTTCCAAATCCACCTTCACACTACCCCTTTCAATCTGTGCAGATTACTTCTTTTTCATTCACTCGACCAACAAAAATATGAGAAACTGTTTCAGGTGGCCTGCTTTGCTCTGTGCGGTGCTTAGAGATATAGCAGATTGTCAGTAAGCCAGACAAATTTCCTACCTCTGCGTTTGTGTACTGTAGGGCCGAACTCAGAAATGCAAACAGGTAGAGAATGAGGCATGCCATGACAGGTAAAGGACAGATGTTCCTGGTTTCTCTCTATCTTCTATCTTAAATTCCATCTTCATTCTCTCCCCTTTCCTTCTTTATCAGAGGAAAACCTGCTCCTACTACACTCTGGCCAACCTGTCCTCGGTAGTCCTGTGGGCCCTTGGGCTTTGGAATGTATTTTATGCCCTATTTTTATCTTCTGTCACTCTCTCTTTATTAACTCTCTATATATACCCTATAACAGGTCCTCATCTTCAAATGAATCCTCACTTGACCTTTGCATGTATTCATTCATTTGATAATTCAACAAGCCTTTATTGAGTGGTGATATCCAATTCCCCACTTACTTCAAGTATGCGTTTTGGCAGCTGCACGTGATCAGAGAAAAATACACAATCACAGTGACTAATCTCACGTTAAATTCATGATCATTAATCTTGAGCGGCCTTGTAGTTCTACTACACTCCCCAAGTTCATTCACTTCACTATTCTGCTAGATGCCCATTTTTCACTTCTCTCCTGGAATTTCCAACACTTCTTTGTCCTTTATCCTCATGGTTTGATCCCTGGTTCAGGCACATGCCCAGATTTCAGGCTGATCCGCAGTAGAGGATATGCAGGAGGCAGCTGATCAATGCTTCTCTCTTATCATTAATATTTCTATCTCTTCCTCTCCCTTCTTTCAATCAATAAAACACACACACACACACACACACACACACACACACACACACACACACACACATATATATATATATATATATATATATATATATATATATATATATATATATATATATTTTTTTTTTTTTTTTAACATTAACTAACCCTGGTCAGGTGGTTCAGTTGGTTGGAGCACTGTCCCCTACACCAAAAGGCTGCAGGTTTGATTCCTGGTCAGGGCACATACCTAGCTTACAGGTTCAATTTCTGGTCAGGGCACCTACAGGAGGCAACCAATCAGCTTCTCACATTGATGTTTCTATCTCTCTCTCCCCCTTTCTCTCTAAAAATCAATAAAAACATATTCTTGGTGAGGATTGAAAAACAAAGCTAACCAAAACCAATCTCATATGATCAGGACTTGGGTGATAGAAAGTAAAGGCAACACATATTGTTAAATAGGTGTTTTAGTGTTCTGATGATATTTGTGAAAATAATTCATTATTGAAAATTTGCTACACCTGACCCCTAAAAACAGTTCCTACCTACCACACTGTCAGGAATGGATTAAATTTAGATAATGAGGGCTATTGCTATTTTTGTGTTACATACTGATTGAATGATCACTACAACATAAACACCTTGAGGCTGGAGATATTCCAGCACATGGAAGAGTACAGGCATGTAAGAAAAGCTCAGCAAGAACCTATAGAATGAATACAGTGATGAGTGAGTGCCTCTTCTATACCAGGTAGTGTGGTAAACATGGCTTCTGTTGTTTATTTTAATTATTTTATTTAAATTAAAATTGGTACTTGGGAGAGATAGTTTAAAAATAATCTTATAAGGCAAATGGACTTCAGAAATTATTTGTATTTTCTGTACTTTTAGTCTCAGAAAAGAGGTCAGCTTGATTGTCTTAACTAAGGATGTATTGCCCTGGTAATAATGTTATAATAGATGCAATTGACACCTTCTATTCCCAAATGGTATAAATACATATAAGAAATCTTTGTTAAGAAAAATCTTGGCAGTCCTAGGCGGTTTGGCTCAGTTATTAGAACATTGGCCTGTGGACTGAACAGTCACTGGTTTGATTCCGGTCAAGGGCATTGTCTACTTAGGATGCAGCTGGATCCGTGCAGGAGGCAACTAGTCACTGTGTCTCTCTCACATCGAGGTTTCTCTCTCTATGTCTCTCCCGGTCCCTTCCAATTTGTTTATGCTGAACGATGGTGTCCAGATTCTCTTGCTGGGATGTTTTCAGTTAGGATGAGGCACAAAGGATGTTTTCTCTTACTAATAAGAGTTGGAGACTCTATTCATATACAGTATATATATGCAGGCCTCATCTCACTGGGCTGACTGCTGATATTTTTGACTCAGTTACAAGAAGATAGACAATGATACCCCAGTTCCCAGCCCCAGGAAAAATACAGGAGACAAAGAGCTCTTCCCTGCTATTCCCCTGACTAGGAACCTAGCACTTCCCCATTTCCCTGTAACAGATGTTACCTCCCTCTGTCCTTTTATATTAGGGAGGGGGATTTCCCTCCCTCACCCTCTTGAGTTATTAAGACTGAACTAATAATAAAATTGGCATAAGACCAATTTAATACACATGGGCATGGGACATCGTAAATGATGTTCAGATAAATGATCGAACCAGCCAGCTTTTAAAACTTTTTGGACAAAGAAACAATAATTGTGTGAAGAACTGATGGGACAAAGATGTTTAGGTTTTGCTCCTCTTTAGGGAAGAATCTAAGCCAAGTTTGAACTTTGGTAGTAATTTATTTAAAAAATATTTTTATTGATTTCAGAAAGGGAGGGAGAGGGAGAAAGAGCTAGAATAATCAATAATGAGAATCTTTGACTGGCTGCCTTCTTCATGCCCTCTACTGGGGACTGAGCCCACAATCCGGGCATGTGCCCTTGACTAGAATCGAACCAGGGACACTTCAGTCTGCAGGCTGATGCTCTACCCATGGAGCAAAACCAGCTAGGGCTTGGGTAATAATTTAGTAAAACAGTTGCAAGGTTTGTATATACAGGCTCTCCTGAACTCTGGAGTTAAGGGTGTCTCTCTCAGCCCCCCTGGAGCGGGGAGGATACCTTGCACAGGGGAGATTTATTTTTGCATCGAGGGAGATAAGGCAGAGTTGACATCCCTTTCTGCACTGGCTGCTTGTCAAGTTACTTTAATTCAAAGGAATCAATACACCATTGTGGGATATTTGGGAGCAGCCTGCCCCAGGCCCTGATAGTTCCTGGCATCTAAACGCTTCCTCTCCCATTAGGAGGTGAGGTGAGTGGAAGCAGAGGCCGTACCACTTGATTTCCATAACTAAGAAGCCAGATTATTTTTATTTATTAACGAAAGATTTTTAAAATTAAAGTACAGTTGGCATATATTATATAAATGATATTAGTTTGAGGTGTAGAGTATAGTGATTAGACATGTATATACCTTATAAAGTGATCACCATAAGTCTAGTAACCACATGTCACCGTGCAGAGTTCCAGGAATAAAATAATGGAGACAGCTGAGCAGGCCTTTTTGGGGTGGGGGCACCTTCCAGGACCCCCGGGAGATTTGGTGAGCTAGCCTGTCTGTTTTGAAGCTCACGGGCTTCAGAATGAACTCAAAGGAATTTCATTTCTGACACATCTGCCATCTGGCCCAGCAGGGACCATCCTGAGGGAATGACCAGCAAAGCAAGGTCCCGGCTGGAGAAGACGGCCCCTAACTGCACTCCTTCCAACAGTCCGGGTGCCGCATCCTGGAGCCCCTCACCCTTCCTCTCCACATCCAGGTGGCCCTGCCTTGGCCCCTCCAACTCTGACAGCAGAGCTGCCCCTGACCCACGGCTGCGGGACGGAGCGAGTTTACCGTGTTTCCTCAAGGTTGCACAACGAGGAAATGACCTGTGCATGAAGACAACCACTGCTGTCCAGGAAGTGTCCTTTGTGCCTTTTTAGGAGAAATGACCTGAGGGACTTTCCCCAGGTGCCAAAGCTGCCTTCTCTTCCCTCCCCAGGATCCAGCAGGGAGGGCTCAGCATCAATAAATAGGGACCAGCGGCTCCGCTCCACCAGAGACCAGGTGAGGGACCACTCCCAGGAGGGCTTGCTCTCCAAACTTTACTCTGTGTTCTCTTTCCAGCAAGACTGTACATTCATTTAAAATAATTATTCTCTTCTGCAGTTGTGCTGTATGGGGTCTGTGCTGGCTGAGTGGCACAGGGAATGCTTTTGGTCCCATTACAGGCTACCCTGAGGGTTTGTTTGGTCCTAACTGCTTTTCTACTCCCTCAGTGCCACCTTGGTGACCTCCTAGACAGTCTTGGGTTCGGGGTTGATGGGTTCAGGATTGAGGACTGTGGCTCTGAGTGAGGTCCCACTGCAGTGTTTCCTAGATGGGCAGCCAGCATCCCAAGAGAACAAATGGAAATGCACAGCTGGGCTGCCTTTGACGTACAAATCCCCAAAGGTGGGTGCCAGTCCTGCCTGTGTCTCCCTGACCCTCCTCTCTCATTTCAGCACCATGAAGCTTTTCACGGGCCTCGTGTTCTGCGCCTGGGTCCTGGGAGCCAGCAGCGTGGACTTTTTTGATTTCATGCGCCAGGCTTATGACGGTAAAGTCCCTTGGGGGGGTGTGAGGGATGGAACCGAAGGCCGTTAGGATTTCACCTGAGTGCCTTTCAGGGATGGGGCTACTGTGTTAGTTTGTGTTGCCCCACGCGGTAGAATGTGCGGGGTGTTTCGGGAGCTTTTCATCAAACACATGGAAAAACCACAGGACTTGTTTCAGACAGTTACTAGAGAAAGAACAATCATCATTCCCTGCTGAAAGGTAAGTTTGACCAGAAGACACAATAGGTATAGAAATGGTATAAAATTTCCCTCAGAGCAACCGCACAAAGTATGATTAAAGCTATCCATATTTTCTTCCCCTCCTCCCCTCTCCCTCTCTCTTGCTTTTTCCTTCCCGTCTGTTTCCTCACTGGGTAGTTTAGTGAGACCTGCGGTTTAGCTCTTGCTGGAGCTTCCCATAGTCAGGCACACTGTCCCTGCTTTAGTCTGTTTTCTACCCTTTTCCAACCTTTTTAAAAAAATTTTTTTTATTTTATATTTTTATTGATTTCAGAGAGGAAGGGAGAGAGAGATAGAAATATCAATGATGAGAATCATTGATCAGCTGTCTCCTGCATCTCCCTATTGGTGATTGAGTCTGTAACCCAGGCATGTGCCCTTGACCGGAATTGAACCTGGGACCTTTCAGTCCGCAGGCTGATGTTCTGTCCACTGAGCCAAACTGGCTAGGGCCTTTTCCAGCCTTGTAACTGATCAAAAAGGAACTAGTAACATCCATCGAGCCTCCTCTAGGAACTCAGCACTTCCATGCAATTTAGGGCGACCAACACTCAGGTGTGCCTGAGTCTGGCAAATTTTCCATGATGCCTTCAGGGCTAACTGGGACAGTCCTAGGCAGACAGGGACAGTTCTGGTCAGTGGTCCATTTTCACTCCTTGATTTTACTCTAAGGAGTGTCACTGTTCATGGATATTTCACCTGATGTCTCTGTGCCATGTCTTTTCCTTCCCAGGGACTAAAGACATGGTGAGAGCCTACTCTGACATGAGAGAAGCCAATTTCAAAAACTCAGACAAATACTTCCACGCCCGGGGGAACTATGACGCTGCCCAAAGGGGACCTGGCGGGGCCTGGGCTGCTAAAGTGATCAGGTAACCGGGCTCCTGGGATGCAGGATGGGTGAACAGAGCTTGGCTGACTGGGCATGTGGAGGGCATAGGCCCTAGAGAAGGAGTCTGTTGGGTCTGTGGGCTCTTCCTCCTGTTCTTCCTTCCACCTTCCCCATCCCTGCCCAACACAGGGCCTGGGCTGCCAGCAGAGCCAGAGAATGGCTTGTGGGCCTGTCCCCAAAAGAGAAACTGAGGGCCAAGAACTGATTCCCACTCTCCCCTCTGGTGCTGTTCTCCCAGTGGGAGGGGGTCACCCTGGGCTGAGTGGGCTGTGCCCAGGCAGGGTCAGTGCTGAGCCTCTTTCCAGGCTCTTCTCTGAGTCATTACTCCCTTGGAAAGGGGAGGGTGGGACTGCTTCTCCTCAGACCCTGATTCACCTCCTAACTGCCCTCCTCCATTCCAGTGATGGCAGAGAGGCTTATCCAAGAGTCACCGACTTCCTTAAGCATGGAGACAGCGGCCATGGATTGGCAGACTCACTGGCCGACCAGAGAGCTAATGAACATGGCCGGAGTGGCAAAGACCCCAATTTCTTCAGACCTCCCGGCCTGCCCGACAAGTACTGAGCTCCTTCTCTCTGCTGTCAGAGGACGGGGCTCTGAGCCCCCTAAAGACAAGGCCCCCGAGTCATTGAGTTCCACATCCCCAGATGTTGACAGAGGGCACACAATATCCTTCTAATAAATGCTCAAGAGTTTGAATGTTGAAAACTTTGTGTGATATTTTGGTATAAGGACTACTCCTTTGGTGTTGAGGGTGATGGGTGGACAACCATAGGAAAATCAAACCTGTGCCTGTGTGTTTGGGTGTAGGCGACAGTCTCAGAGTCGCACAGTGCATACACCCTGCTCAACACCCTTCACTGAGTCAAACCTGCTCCTCTCTCTACGTTTCTTGGTTACATGGTTGCTTCTGCTCACTCCCTGTCAATGGTGTCTATCACCATCCCAGTCCCCAGGGCCTTGTCTCAGTCCCCTGACTTTTATCTCTCAGTGATCTCTGTCTGAGGGTAGGGGACACAGCACTGGGAGGACTGGGTCATGAGATCAGACTCCAGCATCTGCCACCATTTCTCAGCAGCACCCGCAAATCCAATTATTAACCAATTTCTGTCTATGCCACCTAAGACAAGCCTCAAAGCAGTTTCCTACGCTCTCTCTCTTTTTTTAAAGTTGATATTCTTTTTTTCCCTTTATTTATTTATTTATTTATTTATTTATTTATTTATTTATTTATATTTTATTGATTTTTTTACAGAGAAGAAGAGAGAGGGATAGAGAGTTAGAAACATCGATGAGAGAGAATCATCGATCAGCTGCCTCTTGCACACCCCCTACTGGGGATGTGCCCGCAACCAAGGTACATGCCCTTGACTGGAATTGAACCCAGGACCTTTCAGTCCGCAGGCCGACGCTCTATTCACTCAGCCAAACCGGTTTCAGTTCCACTCTCTTTTTATTTGCCTTATTTCGAGCCTAATTGCAGATGAAATGCCCTCTTATGTGTGAATATTTCCTCACAGCGTCTTCACCTTAACTACCTCAAACTGTGGACCTGATAGTGAAGAGAAATTTTGATAAGGAGCATTAATTACTAATAATATTAGCCAGGAAGGAGCAAAGAATGCAAGAAGGAATACATTTGAGAAAGGGTGCTCCACAGGATTGAGATGTAGATCTCATTGGAAAGAAAGCCTAGCTCATCGGAAGGCTGATAAAGATTGCTGGGTGTCAGAAGCCAGAGCTGACAAACAAGAACTTCCCCATGAGGTGCCATGGATTTGGCAGAAACTACCCAGGATTTAGTTGACCTCCCTGGGGATGCTGCTGGGTTCCTGCCATCGCACTTGGATTTGGTGCAGGTGGGGGCAGGAGGAAGAAAGCTACTGAACTTCCTGGAACCTGGCGGTGGAAGGGGCAGTGCTGTGACTGAATTACGTCCCCCACCCTCAATTTATCTTGCTGTCCCAACTTCTAGGGCGGCTGTATTGTAATTAAAATTAAATGAAGTTATAAGAGTGGAGCCATGGTCTGATAGGATCAGTGTCCTTATAAGAGGAGATGAACAGATTGCCAGAGCACAACTGAGGTTCCTGCCAGCCAACCTACAGCCAATATGAGGGCCAGGAAATTCAGGGTGACAGTCTACATGTCACAAATTCAAGGAAAGGCTCAGTCATTTCCATTCATTGGCGTGCGTTCTGTCCCCCAGGCTGTGACAGTCTTATCTGTGCTCAGAGACTGTCCACTGGTGCCCTTGGGATGGTAAACAAGACTTGAGCACCTGCTGTATGATCCATGATCCTCTTGACTACTCTGCTACCTGGGAATTATTGTCCCTTTTCACAAGAGGGAAAGGGAGGCTCGGGGAAATTGATATACCTATGGAAGATCACACAACCTTGGCGTTCTGGAAGCTGGGTTTAAATCCCGTTTTCTCTTGCTGAAAGCGGTTTGGCTCAGTGGATAGAGAGTCAGCCTGCGGACTAAAAGGTCCTGGATTCAATTCTGGTCAAGGGCATGTACCTTGGTTGCGGGCACATCCCCAGTAGGGGTGTGCAAGAGGCAGCTGATCGATGATTCTCTCTCATTGATGTTTCTAACTCTCTATCCCTCTTTCTTCCTCTCTGTAAAAAATTAATAATATATATATATATATATATATATATATATTTAAAAACTTAAACTAAAAATAAACCCAGTTCTCTCTGACTCTCAGAATGGGGCCCATCTCTACTGGAACATGGACCCTCTACTAACACGGGGATGTCCTATAATCATCATGCCCCTCCACTGAAATGTAGAATAATTATTAGGTGCATGTTTGGTTTTGTGTCATGTATCACTGTTTAAAGAATATATAATTTTTTTTCAGTATTGCTTTTAAAAAAAATTGTATTTTGATTGATTTTAGAGAGGGAGAGAGAACCTCTGATCGACTGCCTCCTGCATGTCACCCCCACCTCCCCCACTGGGCATCGAACCCGAAACCCAGGCATGTGCTCTTGACTGGAATTGAACCTGGGACCCCTCAGTTTGCAGGCCAACACTATCCACTGAGCCAAACCCACCAGGGCAGTATTGTATGTGGTATCTACCTTTTTATTGAATTTACTGGGGTTATATTGGTTAATACATAGGTTTCAAGTGTAAAATTCTATAACACACGAGAAGCCAGGCTGGGGAGGAGTGTCCCTCAGCCTGGCTAGCACCCTCTTGCAATCTGGAACATCCCTCTCACAATCCAGGACCTCTGTTCATTTTGCTACACAGGGTAGCATTCCTGCCGCTGCTCTGAGAGCGAGTACCTGGTGAGCTGGTCCGCAGTAGGTCTTCCCAGAGTGGTTCCCAGACATGAATGCTTTGATAATGAGACGGCTCAGTTTGCCAGGAGATGTGGACAGAGCTGGACAACACATACTACAGAGTGATGGTGTGCAGCAAGCGAGCCACCTCGCCCAGCGGTACTGCCATGAAGCAGTAAGAGAGACCAGTGAACTCTGACCATCCTCAGAGAGAGAGAGATATGCCCTCATGCAACTCTCAGAAACTGGACTCACAACAGATGAAGACAAGTCTTCATGTTATTTCTAGCAGCAATTTTACCATACTGCGCTTAAAGGACTTTGTGGAACAGACTTTGCTTCACGCTCCGATAACCAAAAATCATTTCAACCTTAAAAAAAAAAAAAAAAAAAAAAAAAAAGGTAGTTTCTTAGAAGCTGGGATAAAAATAATGGCCATTATGGTCAGAGGATCCAAGGACAATATAAGCCACAAGGTCACCGAAGGAGATAAGTTCTGTTAATAATGACCAGCAACTTTTTTTTTTTTTTTTAAATCCTCACCTAAGAATATGTTTTTATTAGTTTTAGAAAGAGGGGAAGGAAGAAACATCAATCGAACCTGCAATCCAGGTATATGCCCTACTGGGAATCGAACCTGTAACCTTTCTGTTTATTGGATGGTGCTCCAGCCAACCCAGCCACTAGGCAATGGTGGTCAGCAAGGTTTTGTTAGCTAGGGGTTGGCCCCAAACGTCAAAGCTGAACTCTGGTAGGCCGGGCTGCACTGCCTGGGCTGGGCTGACAGTCTGATGAGTGTTGTCTCCTCTAATCCAAACTCCGTCTCCAATCCCCAGAGCATGGAGGCCATGCCAAGGAGCACCCACGAGCCTGGGAGGAGGGAACCAGGGAACCGGAGCTGTGTCTGTTCCCAGGCACACCTCACAGAGAGCCATTTCTCCAACATGATTCAAGTCTAAATAAACCGAGAACAGAACAAGCTGTGTAACTGCCCTATGTCACTGCCTTTACTTAATTAAGGCTAAATTGCTGGGAAAAAATACAGAAGCTTAAGAAATACAGAAATGTATGTTTCACGGAACAGTTTGTGGTGAGTGATCCCCCTGCCAGGGGCCTGGGCTCTGCACTGTCCCTCAGATTCCTGCCAGGTTCCTGCCCCATCAGACTTCAGACTGAGCCCTGCTGCTCAGAGGGGGTCAGGAACCAGAAGCTTCAGCACCTGTCAGAAATGCAACGTCTCAGGCGCCAGGTCCTCTGTGGCAGCCCGACTTGCAGAGCGTGTGGGCAACTGGGCAAAGCAAAAACGTGGGACCTTTGTTCACAAATTCTTAAACATTCCAAAATGGTGAAAGCAGGCCGTTCAGCCAAGCTCAGGGCTCTGCTAAACAGGGGCTCTGCGCGCCACACAGGCCTCAGGCCGTGAAACAGGCAGTTCACTGGGAAAAGCCCCACAGCCAGGGGCTGCGAGCACTGAGACTGTGTCACCAGAGCCAGGCTTTCCCTCCAAATAGCAGGTGTCAATATCCTAGATCACCAGGGGAATATAGTAACTGAATGCTCATTCATCTGGAATGATGTATTTCCCAGGGAAGACGGGAATCACAGTCTGGGAAAACCTCCATCTTCAGGACAGAGTTGTGCCGTTACCGTGTTTCCCCGAAAATAAGACATCCTTCGAAAATAAGACCTAGCGCATGGAAAGATAAGACATCCTCTGAAAATAACACCTAGCGCAACTTTTGGAGAAAAAATTAATATAAGACACTCTTATTTTTGGGGAAACAGGGTAGTATTTGTCTTAGCCTCTGGAAGAACTGCCACGTGGGAATGTTCTGGGCCTCACTTGTGTTCTGTATTTGATCCACAGACCAGGGTTGTCTGGAAACCACAGGCTCCTCATCTCAGCACGGCAGCTCTGTGTTGTCAGTCTGTGTTGTTATTCGGGAAGTTCCTGAGTCCAGATTTCTTCTACGTGAAAGGGTGGGAAAAGCTGTTTGTGGCTCTGACCTCACTCTGAAGTTACTATTCCCGGTAAGACTGTCTAGGAGTACAAATTGAGTTCAATCATGAACAGCCAATAATTTCCTCCATCGTGTATATTATGAAGTCTTCATTAAAATCTATTAGGACTGGGTTCAGAGAGCTTCTGAGTTAGTGAACAGGTGGAGGCTCCGTGAGAGTGGAGCTGGAGAGTACATGGAAGCTACTGGCCCTTTCCCCATTCCTAACATATGCATCTGGCTGTTCCTGAGTTATAACCTGTTAAACAACAAAAATTATATCTGGTGAATTTGAAGATCTAATTGGCTTTACTGAATGATTCATGAACCCAGTAGCATCCCATCTAGCAAGCAGAGAGGTGCTTCGATAAGTTTTACAAAATGGAAGGTCTTCATAGACAGAAACTGGGAAGGACAAGGTAGTTATTACCAGAAGAAAAGAAAGGATTGTTTCAGGAAGGGCAGCAAGGGTTTCCCAGGGGTGGGGAAACTTTTTCTCTGCCAACGGCCATTTGGATATTTATAACATCACTCTTGGGCCCTACAAGATTATGGCTGCTACATTTGGTCAAAAATCTAACTAACTCATCCCCAATGCCTTGGTAGGGCCAGACTAAATGATTTCGTGGGCCTATATGGCCCTTAGGCCAGATGTTGCCCACTCCTGGAGATTATCTCACCAGTGTTGACTAGGAAATTCTAGACTAACTGGTTTAAAATTCCACACCTGGTAAAGGCTGCAACTGAAGTTAGATAAGGTAGTAATAAATCTTGGTCGGGTTTAGCAAAAGAAACTCTATTTTGGGCCTGTTGTTTCCTTTTAACATCCTTTTATCATAAATTAGTAACCTAGTAAATAAAATATTTTTTTCTGAGTGCTATGAGCTGCTTTAACAAATTAATCAAAACCAAGGAGGAGGTTATGGGAACAAATGATTTATTGCCAGTCAGAAGCACAGTTAACAACCTGTTGGACTAGGGATGGGCATCTAACGTGGAGAGTAGTCGTGTGACTCTGAGCCTTTATCCTGCGGAAGCTGGTGCCCTCTCCTGGTATATAGTGTTGGAATGGAGTTGAATTGTGGACACCCAGCTGGCATTACATATTGCTTGACATGGGGAAACAACACACACCCACCCACCACACATTGGTGACCCAAATCCTTAGGTTTCCCCAATTCCCAAATTTCTAAGAAGGTTTGTGAAGCCTCCTTTCTTGGTCAACCTCCTCACTAATCTGGTTACATCATATCAATAACGTGGGAGTATGAAGACTAACAAATAGAAACCCCTTTTAAATTGCAGTTGAGAGGTCTTCTAGGGGGAGTGCTCATGCCCAACCACTCATTGTGGTATTTCTCCAAATATGATACTCAAGTGACAAACAAGACTATGAAAAGATGTTCAACATCACTAATCATTAGGAAAATGCACATAAGAATTGTAATGAAATATTACCTAATATTTTTAAGGTAATTTTTACTAGGATGGCTACTATAAAAGCAAACAAACAGCTTTAGCTGGTTTGGCTCAGTGGATAGAGCATCAGCATGTGTACCGAAGGGTCCCAGATTCCGTTCTGGTAAAGGGCATGTACCTTGGTTGCAGGCTCAATCCCAGGCCAACAGTTCGGGGTGCATGCAGGAGGCAACCAATGAATGTGTCTCTCTCTCACATTGATCTCTCTCTCTCTCTCTCTCTCTCTCTCTCTCTCTCTCTCTCTTTCTGTCTCTCTTTCTCCCTTCCTCCCTCTTTTCCTTCCTCCCTCCTTTCCTTCATTCTTTTAACACACACACACACACACACACACACACACACACACACAAAATTATATAATATGGCATAGCTTTTATGGAAAACAGTATGGCAGTTATTAAAAATTTAAAAATAGAATATTGCCAAGCTGGTGTGGCATAGAGGTTGACCATTAGCTCATGAATCAGGAGATCATTGGTTCAATTCCCAGTCAGGGCACATGTTTGGGGCTCAATTCCCAGTAAGAGGCCTGTAGAAGGCAGTCAATGATTCTCTTTCATCATTGATGTCTCTATCTTTTCCTTCCTCTCCCTTCCTCCTGCTGAAATATAAAAAATAAATAAATAACATTTAAAAAATAAATTTAAAAAGCTTTAAACATAAAATTATTATATAACCTAGGAATTTTACTTCTGGGTATATACCCCACAAAATTGAAAGCAGAGTCTCAAAGAGATATTTGTACAACCATGTTCATAGCAGCATTAATCACAATAGACAAGAGGTGAAAGCAACCCAAGTATCCATTGATAAATGAATGCGTAAGCAAAATGTGGTATACACATTTTATAGGATATTATTCAGTTTTTTAAAAGGAAGGAAATTCTGACAACATGGATGAACCTTGAGGACAGTAAGCTAAGTGAAATAAGCAAGTCACATAAAAAAACAAATACCATATGATTCCATGTATATGAGATACTTAAAGTAGTAATGAAATATCATGGGGACAGAAAGTAGAATGGTGACTCAAGGGGCTAGGTGGAGGTGGAAATGAGGAGTACTTTCATGGGTAGAGAGTTTCAGTTTTGTAAGAAAAGCTCTGGAAATCGGCTGATCACTACTGCCCACATTCCTATTCTCTCAGCAAGCACTCCAGGCAAATTCTGACTTGGTGGTCCCTGGACTGATTCTGACTTCCCTACTGCTGTCCTCTGGCTCTAGTCAGGGCCTGCTCTAGCTTAGTGTAGGACGGTCCAGATCTCTCCACACTCATCTCTACCCGTTACACATCCATCAGCCTTTCTTCTCAAGGGAAATTTAAAGGCCTTTAATATTTTTCCTTTGGATGAAGGTGTAGGGATGGGGCAGGAGAGTGGACTATGGACTCCATCTCAAGGTTAGCAACTGCATGAAATTTCTTCCCAAGATTATTTTACTAAACTCCCATAGCAAACCCTGTCTGGCTTTTCTGGTTGAAACTGCCATTCTCTAACATTGCACCCTCCCAGCATTCTTATGCTGCACACCAACTTCCTCTTCAACCTTGCTGATTCTTGTATTCTGACACCTTAGTGGCCAATGGGTCATTTCCTGGTCATTTTAATGGTGTGTCATTTCTGCACAACATTGTAGCAAATTTCTACACTACCATACAACAGTACGTTCTATAGCAACTGATGGTGAGCACACTTGAGTCTGGAGGACTCCCTTTTCCAGTGCAGAGTCCACCCTATGGGGATGCTGGAAGTTTTATTTTTCTGGGGTTGTCTGTCCTTTCTTTCCTCATCCTGCACCCTAAGGTCCCAGCTTCATCCTGAGCTGTCTTCTTGCAATGGAGCCCATTCTGCTGTTCCACTTGCCCTGTAGCCTCACCTTCTTCAATCAAATCTCTTTTCTGATATTGTTTACCTATAACAGTAAATGTCAGTACATTAGGGGAAAAAATACCTTTCTCACCAGATGTGAGACTGAAAATGGGCAGGAAACCCCAGTTTGCTACATCCCTGAAAGCTGCCAGGTTGCACAAATTGGGAAACTTAGATGTGCGTGAAAAAGAACCATCGTGTCCTGGATGCTGAGTTCTGACCAAGAGGAATTTCCCACATTTCAGTGTTTTGCTCCAAACCTCTCTTGCCAGGTGTCCAACTAGCAAAGCCTCAGTGTATATAGCACCAGGCACAGCTAGAGGTGGCGGCACAGGCAGCTCAGCTTCAGCAGGGGTATCAGCAGGACCAAGCAGCCAAGGTGAGGTGCTAGAACTCTCCAACACTTTTCCTCTTTGGGGCACTTTTCTCCACCAGCTTTCTGGTGCTGCACCCCAGCTGTCTGCATCTTTCCTGAATCTACTGTTCTGCTGATTAGATTTCACCAGATGGGAATACTTTTGGGGTAGAGATTTTTTAAAAGATATATTTTATTGTTTTTTTTACAGAGAGGAAGGGAGAGAGATAGAGAGCTAGAAACGTCGATGAGAGAGACACATCGACCAGCTGCCTCTTGCACACTCCCCACCGGGATGTGCCCACAACTAACGTACATGCCCCTGACAGGAATCAAACCTGGGACCCTTCAGTCCGCAGATCAACGCTCTACCACTGAGCCAAACCGATTCCGGCTGGGGTAGAGAGCTTCTTCTGTGTGAGGTAGGGATGACAGAGCAAGTATCCTACAGTAATTATGGATTCTTTAACTCATCTCAACTTGACAGAGAGGCAGAGCAGTCACAAAACTTCCGAATGCCTTTGGGATAGTTCCTGTACAGTGGGGACTCAGGGCTGGCAGGGGGATGATTGAAATGGAAACTGGTTTGTACAAAAAGCTCATTGTATTGTCTGATACAGGAAATTACTGTGATTTTTAAAAAATATATTTTATTGATTTTACACAGAGAGGAATTGAGAGGGATAGAGAGTTAGAAATGTCGATGAGAGAGAAACATCGACCAGCTGCCTTCTGCACACCTCCCACTGGGGATGTGCCTGCAACCAAGGTACATGCCCTTGACTGGAATTGAACCCTGGACCTTTCAGTTCGCAGGCTGACGCTCTATCCACTGAGCCAAACCGGTTTCGGCAATTACTGTGATTTTAGTGAGTCAGATGAAAATGTAGAACTGAGGGGTTTGGGAGGGGTGTGGTTATGGGGAAATAAGGACACATATGTAACACCTTAATCAATAAAGAAATTTAAAAAGAAAGAAAATGTAGAACTGAAACACAACCTATCCATCTATACGATGAATATATATATTCATCTATATGTGCAGATAGATATTGATATAAAAGTATAAGATTGAGTGGAATTTAATTTTGGAAGGCTAGGATAGGTCACCATGTCCAAGAAAAGAAGCAAAAGTGCTTCATGCTTGGTTGTGTTTACTTGACTCTCTGTCTTAGGATGAAGCTTTCCACGACCATCGTGCTCTGTTGCCTCATCCTGGGCGTCAGTAGCCAAAGATGGAAAACATTCTTCAGGGAAGCTGGTCAAGGTAAGGAGTATGGGTGTGGAGGAGGCTGCATCAGATCCCACCCAGGTTTCACCTGAGCAGAGGCCACATTCCCACAAGCAAAGGTCACGGCTGAGTAGAAGGAGAACACTGTTTTCACGGTAGGTGTTCCCTAAGGTTTCCTGGACACACTTTGCACTCTTTTGTTGGGATCCCCAGGCCCGAAGGCACATAAGGTTTGTCTCCCAACATTCCGCAAGTGTGACATCGCCAATTCAGAGATGCCTCCATAAATATAAGTGGCCCTCTACTGCCCTCTAATGGCAATCAGGGACGGCCATTTCTTTGTCTCAGTCATGAAGTGGATGTATCAAACGTGGGGAGTATTCACACTCCCCAATCACTTAATTATTGCAACCAAGATAAACGGAGCATTTAATAGGTGCTAGACACTGTTCTGAATGTTGTTGTTTTTTTCCATGTACAAACGAACTCGTTTTCATCCTCATATTTTAATCCTTTATTCTTGTGATGTGGGTACCATTATCTCTTAACAGAGAAACTGAGGCACAAAGAGAGTAAGATACCTAACAAGAGACCCAAGTAGAGCAGGATTTAATCGGGATCACTGAGATCTCCAGACCTTGCTATTAACCACATTACTAGACTGCAATCATGCATGTGGGAGAGTGGGGGATTTCGGAACACACATTCTGTTCTTGATCTGAGCAAACTGATAACAGTGGGGATGTGGTGCCTTTCAAAGGCAACTCTGTAGAGCTCCTCTCCCTACAATGCCTGGTGATGTTTCTGTTGGGGCTGAGATCTGGCCAGGAAACGGATACCTAGAGATACATACCTCACTAGCCACAGTAAAGAGGCAAACATTTATTTATTTCACAGAATTATAGTTTGCATTTTTTTTCTTGTGGTAGTTCCTGAGTACCGGTAATTGTCTTAAGTGTTTGCTGTTAATCCTAAAATCTCATAAAGCCAGATAAAAATACCTTTCCATCGCCGACATCAGTGTTATTCAAAGGGTTATTCTAGGTCCACTTGCATGAGAATCATATGGCATCTGGGGTGCTTTGTGAAATGCAGATAACTGCACCCACTGAACCTAAATTTCTGTGGCTGAGTGTATAACGCAGCCTTTATCAGGCACCCAGCTGATTTTGTGTACATTGAAGGCTTAGAGCCACCACCTTCACTTTATTGCTCCTCAGTGATGAAAAATGCCATTTTCAAAATCTTCGTTATGCACATCTGAACAACAAGGATCTATTTAAATTAGTAACTCAGAGTGTATAAGAATAGTAAGAATGTCATACCTCTCAACAAAACTATGTTTTCTAATGTCCAAAAAATGACATATATGAAATGAAGATAAGTTATTTCATGGGGCAATTACATAAACCATGATTATAGCTCTACATTAGATTTTTCTCTTTTCCTAACAAGTTATTAATTTTTTGTCATTTAATTTTATTTGTTTAAAATGTTTTTATTGATTTTAGAAGAGAGGGAGAGAGAGAAAAAAACCGATCAGCTGCTCTCTGAGGGTTGACCCTGCTACGTGGACATGCGCCCTGACTGGGAGTCAAACCGGTGACCTCTTGGTGATGCTCCAACCAGCTGAGCCACACCAGCCAGGGCATTTACCATTCCATTTTAGTTTGATCAAATTCATTCTGCCAGTGACCCCCTGCTCCATCGTACTTCATTCCTTTACTTTCTTTAGCCCCCCTCTTCCCAAGGACCAGAGAAGTAAAATGATAGTATATTATCTGCCTGCAATGTTCCTGACATTATACAGTATTTCTCAGTTCTTCTGAGTAACCACTCTGAGGGAGGCAATACTCACCCATTTTATTGAGAGGACACTGAATTTTAGATACGGTGGTTAGTTGACCTGGCATTGCATGTATAATCCCATTTCTTTAATGTCTTTTTTTTTTTTTAAAGGGAACTGACTATCACCTGATGATTGAACTCTGACAGTTGCCCAAGTGCCAAATGTGCCCAGACATTCCGATGTACTCGGGAAAAGTTGTCCCCCCTTTGCCCACAGGGATGAGTGTCTCCCATTGACTAGGTTGGGAGCACTGTGCTTCCGAACCTCCCTCAGAATCACCTTTGTCCTCACACCTGTCAGGGGTTCCCTGCATCTGTCCAGGTGCAGGTTCCTTGTAAAAGTAAACATCCCTTCAGGACCATCCCGCCTATCCTTTACACGCCTCACTCAGCCAAAACAAAGTAGCAATAGAACATAGAATGGAGCCAAACAGAACAAAATTTGCATGATGTGTGATTTTCATAACATTAACCTGAAGAAGTGAAAAAATAAAGAAATGCTTATTTCATGACAATAAAATTAACTCCAAGGGCTTTTCGAGGACTAAAGTCTTGCAATCAGTGGGAAGGAAATGTTTTATTCTTCTATTATGCCAAGGTGTGATTACCTTCATTTCACATTTTCCTTCCTTTCCAGGAGCCAAAGACATGTGGAGAGCCTACTCTGACATGAGAGAAGCCAATTACAAAAACTCAGATAAATACTTCCATGCCCGGGGGAACTATGATGCTGCACGAAGGGGACCAGGGGGCGCCTGGGCTGCTAAAGTGATCAGGTAACTGGGCTCCTAGGGATGGGTAAGCAGAGCTTGCAAAGAAATTTCCTGTGGAGGCTGTGGTCCCTCCTCCTCTTGCCAACCCTTGCCAAGTCATTTTAGGCCCACTGTGGGCATAAATAAAGCCAGAGCAAGGCTAATGGAATGGGTGATTGCCACCCTCCCCTATGGTGCTGTTCTCCCAGTTCAGGGGGGGGAGGGAAGGATGGGGTGTCACCCCAGGACTGTGCCCAGGCAGGGTCAATGGTTAGCCTCTTTCCAGGCTCCTCTCAGAGTCATTAATCCCTTAGAAAGAGGAGGGTGGGGCTGTTTCTCCTCAGCCCCAGATTCATCTTCTACCTGCCCTCTTTTATTCCAGTGATGCCAGAGAGGCTTATCCCAGACTCACTAACCTTTTTAAGCATGGAGACAGCGGCCATGGATTGGCGGACTCAAGGCCGGACCAGGAAGCCAACAGATGGGGCCGGAGGGGCAAAGACCCCAATCACTTCAGACCTCCCCGCCTGCCTTCCAAGTACTGAGCTCCTTCGCTCTGCTCTCAGGAGACGGGGCTGTGAGCCCCCTAAGGGCAGGGACCCTGAGTCATTGAGGTCTACATCCCCAGATGTGGAATACAGAGGGCACATAATGGATGTCTAATAAATGCTTAAGAGTCTGAATGTTAAAAACTGTGTTATTATTTGCTATAAGGACTACCTGTTAGTACCAAGGGGTGATGCATGAATACCCACATGAAGGCAGAGTCTGCGCTTATGTGCTTGGTATAGGGGACACAATCTCAGTGTCATCCAGGGCAGACGCCCTGCTGAAGCCATTCCCTGAGTCAGACCCACTCCTCTCCAGGCCCCTCTGGTTACATTGCTGTTGCCAGGCCTTTCAGTGTCCAGGCCTCAATGTACATTTCTGTCAGCCCCCAAACCTTTAACCTTAACAGAAAATGCCTCCACAGCTCATACCTTCTTGAAAATGTGTACCCATCCTTGTGAGTTAGTGCTTTATAAGTTAGTCCTCTTGCTCATTTCTTTTAAAGCTCTTATAACACTAGCTAGCAGTAGTGGGATGTTTATGATATAACAGTTAATAGTCAGGAAATTACCTGTGGGCCAGATATTTCTCTAAGTGTTTTCCCAGGGGATCCTCGCATTTTATAGTTGAGGAAACTTAAGGCACACACTGTTAAAGTATATATCCAAGTTCCTTTGCTGGTTTGATGTAGAACCACCATTCTTTTTTTTTTTTTTTTTAATTTTTTTTTCTTTTTTTTATTTTTTTTTAATAATATATTTTATTGATTTTGTACAGAGAGGAAGGGAGAGAGATAGAGAGTTAGAAACATCGATGAGAGAGAGTCATCGATCAGCTGCTTCTTGCACACCCCCTACTGGGGATATGCCCGCAACCAAGGTACATGCCCTTGACCGGAATCGAACCCGGGACCCTTCAGTCCCCAAGCCGACGCTCTATCCATTGAGCCAAACCGATCTCGGCCTAGAACCACCATTCTTAACCATTTGTTATTACTCACATTTGTATTGAAGTTGAGAGCTTATAAAACACACACACACACACACACACACACACACACACACACACACATATTAGTTCACTTAGTCATTCTTTCAATGAATGTATTCCATGTATCGACCAGTTGATCCTCACAACAAGTCTATGGGGTAAATTTATATGGGGGGGGGGCGGGGAGAGGCAGAGGTAATAAAGGGCTGAGAGAAAAGCAAGCAACAATTTGGAAGAAATTACATCATTGTGTCAAGGCGACTATACAAAGAGATAAATATCCATTTCCTTAGAGAATGGCATGAATAGAGTTCCTCCCCAAACTTGTCAGTTCTGGGGACAGAGAGAGACCTAGACCTTAGTTCTGAACAAGGACAGCATTGTACCCAGCCCCAATCCCAATCCAGTCTTTGGCTATCAATGGGGAAATCTTTGGTTGGCACAATTATGGGGGCATTTTGTGGATGGGCCATCCATTAAATCACAATTTACGGGACAGGGCTGCAGACATAGAACCATCCTGAGTTCTGTGTGCCTTCTGCAGTGTCCTATCAGACATGCATATAGACAGCGTCAGCTTTACTGTGAAGCTGACAAAGCTTAAGCTTCAAGTGCTCTTCACTTATATGGGACCATTCCAAGACCCTGGGAGGGACTCTGAAAAAGTGTTTACATGGTCAAACACCTTTGTAAAATCTAAAAAAAAGTAAAATATTTTAACTTTAAGCAGTGAATGTCCCAGACTCTGTCCATTCCAACATCCCACCATTACACTTCTCCTTGTGTTGAGTGACCATTGGGGTGTTCACAGACATTTTAGAGATCTGACTAAGAAGTTGAGTTGGGATTACAATTTGTTTGCATTTACTGGCCGTGGGACATTTATGTGGTTTTCAGTCACTTCCTAGTATAATTGAGATGTTGCTCGCCACCCTGGAGTAGGAATGGCTTCTAGACTGCCTACTGTGGTGCAGAGGTCATATGGCAAAATGAACATGGCCTGCACAGTCCAGCACGGCATGTGTGGGAGATGACATACACGGTCCAGTGAGGGTGACCAATAACAATTATGACTATAACCATGCCTGACAGAGTGCAGAGGGGCTGGGGGAGATGGAGTCATCTGGGCTCCTTCCTGTCCCTGACGGGAATATTGGGCGGGCAATCAGCCCAGCAGGGCTCTGGGCAGCAGGGGGCGCTGTGGCGAGAGCAGCGCCGGGCCCTCTGGCGCCAGAAGGCCTCTCGCCTCCTCCTCCGGCGGCTTCCGGCGCGGCCCCTGCAGACCTGTAGCGGCCGAATCATGGACCGCAACCCCTCGCCGCCGCCGCTGCCCAGGAACGAGGTCGACCAGGAGGAGGAGGAGGTGGCCGGGGGAGACTGCATAGGGAGCACGGTGTACAGCAAGCACTGGCTCTTCGGCGTCCTCAGCGGGCTCATCCAGGTGTGGAAACTCGCGCCTCGCGTGGGCCCTCCTCCTTCCCCCACATCCGGCCCCGCGTCTGGCCGCCCCTCCCTCCCGCCGGGGCCCGCGGTCCCCATGGCGACCCGGGCCCGCGACCCGGGACCCCTCCCCGGGCGCGCGCGGCCCCGCACCCCGGCAGCTCCCGGCCCCCCAGCACTGAAGGAGGTGTAGTGAGCGACAGGAATGCCGGAGCGCTTGCAATGAACATATTTTACTCTCCTACGTTTTCCAAAAATGGGTGGTCACGTAAAGGCATTGGCTCGGGTTTTTGCTCCCCCCTTTCCACGGTCGTTTCCGAGGTCTAGGTCCTGATAATCTAGTTCGTGGGCTCTAGTTGTAATATAATAGAAGAGTACGTGTTGGTTTTGGAGTCGGAGCTCTGACATCCAAAGCGCGGCTTCAGCACCTCTTTGCCGGGCGACTCTGGGCAAAGCTGCCAAAGCGCTCAGAGCCTCGGTTTCTTTCCCAATTTCTCCACAGCGGGATGGTAGTATCTGTGTGGTTGGATATGGGGCTGTATTGTGTAGGTTAGATACGATAATCGCCATCGAGTGCTTACCCTGGCGTTTAACTAATAGGAGGCTGTGAACGCTTCTTTCCCTAATTAGAACTTTTCTTTTAATCTCTGCCCCTTCCAGGACATCTCTACACAGTTGCCAGAATAACCTTCCTTTTAAAAAACAAACAGTCCGGCCGCGGTGTCGCTCAGTGGTTGAATGTCCGACAGGGTTGGGTTCCAGGTCAGGGCCCATGCCCCGGTTTCTGGCTGGATCCCCAGTAGGGGGCGTGCAGGAGGCAGCCTATCAATGATTCTCATCATTGATGTTTCTATCTCTCCTCCTCCTTCCTCTCTGAAATCAATAAAAATATATTTAAGAAAAAAATCATCATACTTTCCTTTACCCACGGGAGAAACATGCATATATTTTAGCTCGGAATCCAGGGCTTTTTGCAACCTTTCCAAGTCTCATTTGCTCACCATTGACACTTAACTGCTCACCATTCCTCAAAGATGCTAGGCCCTTAACTCTGAGCTCTCCTACTTTCTTTCTCTTCTTCCTCAGAGATTTAGCTTAAATATCACCTAAGAGAATTTCCCCCTAACTTCGCCCAGACATGGGTCATTGGTCCCTCATTTCTGCCCTCAGAAGTTTTTTAATTAAAAAAATATTTTATTGATTTCAGAGAGAGGCGGGGAGCGAGCGGGAGAGAGATAAGAACATCAATGATAAGTGAGAATCATCCATCAGCTGCCTCCTGCACATCCCAGGAGTCTGAAACTCTGGGCATATGTCCTGAACGGGAATCGAACTGTGACCTGGTTCATAGGTGACACAACCACTGAGCCACACCAGCCAGGCTGCTCTTAAAACTCTTAGTCCACAATTCAGTTGAATCACTTCACCTTTTCTGTTGTGATGATTCGTTTACCTGTCTTTTACCCACTATACACTAAACTGCTTAAAAGCAAGAGATTAAATCTTACTCATCTTTGTGTTTCTACCCCAGTGCTTAGCAACAGTATTTACTCTATAAATGTTAAATGAATAGATCTACGTAAGATACTGGGTTTTTAAGAGTTTTTTTTGCAAGAGAAAACACTTTGAGGGTAGTATCTTTGTGACTTCTAAGTGATTATGGTATAATATTATTTGAGGAGTACTGTGGACAGCTTTCATTCATTTCTCTTTTTTCTTTTGTGTTTCTGAAGTTGGTTAGCCCTGAAAACACCAAATCCAGCTCAGATGACGAGGAGCAGCAGATGGAGCTTGATGAAGAAATGGAGAATGAGATTTGCAGAGTATGGGATATGTCAATGGATGAGGTACGGGGTATGAAATGAAAGTGGAAGACTATTGGGTGATTTTTTTTTTTTTTCTTAAAGGTTGGTCTTTAAATCTCTGGGGAAAGACTTCAGTGTCTGTAATGACTCCTGTATGTGGTACAGGGAATGAGGTTCCAGGAGCTATAAATGCTAAGGTTTGTCCTTAGGTTTGTGCCAAATATAGGATACCCCAAAAATATCACACACATACTTAGAATAATTATAAAGATAGTGTTTATTAAAATACAGTTTATTTTCAAAATTGAGCTCTCAGCTGTTAAAGTGTGTATACATTTTTTTTTGGACACCCTGTATATAGTTTTTATGAAGGCCAGAACTCTTGTAGCTAGGAAGGTTTTAATACTTATATACCTAAAGAGAACACTGACCTCGTATTTGAGAATCATTGATTGGCTGCCTCCTGCACATTCCCCACTGGGGATAAAGCACACAACTTGGGCATGTGCCCTCGGCTGGAATCGAACCTGGGACCCCTCAGTCTGCAGACTGATGGCTCTATCCACTGAGCCAAACCAGCTAGGGCTCCCACACAGTTTTGATGACTAATATAATAAATCTTGAAATCAGGTAGCGTTAATCCTCCATCTTTGTTCTTTGTCAAAGTTGTTTTGGTTGTCATTGGTCCTTTGTATTTCCATATTAATTTTAGAATCTGAGATTGAGTTGAATTAATAGATCATTTAGGGGAAGAATTGGTA